AGAAAACGTTTATGTCTCGGTGGCTTGCGGGTTGGTCCGAGCCTCTCGTGGGAACCTCCCGGGAGGCCCAAAGGGGGTTGTTTACAATCGGGACCTCGCAAAGGGGGGGAGGGCCACAGGGAGGGGGGGGGGAGCTCGATTCGTTGGCGCATCGAACCGCCGAAAAACTATGCAAAACGAGGCTTCCGACCGCCGCCAGAACCCGAGAGGTGTCGACTATCGGGGCGCGCGGGGCGCGTCGTTTTTCTGAGATTCGACGCACCAGCGGATCGAGCTCACCCCCCCCCTCACTTGGTATCGCTCGGACGTGTGCATTTTTCTCGGCCGGGATTATTAGGAAGCATCCTGGATCATCCTGCGAACAAGCCACGCACGAAACCGAAAAAAGAAAAGGAAATGGACGTCCGAGCGATGGCCAGTTTTCGGAGATTCGATGCACCAGCGGATCGAACTCACCCCCCCCCTCAGGGTCCCCCCCTTGGTGGACCCCGGTATAAGCCTGGGCAAACCGTGCGCCCCTCTCGCAAGCAGCGGGGGGCGGCGGGCCAGAGACGCCCCACGGAAAATCGCCGCCGTCCCCCGCTGCCGTGAGGAGGCGCCGTTGCGGCCGAGCGCATTGCGGCCAGGGCTCGGCCAGTCCATCAAACGGTATGTTCCTCAGACTGCTGTGGAGGCCACTCGGGGAAGGCACGGGGGAGACAGGAGAAGAAGAAGAAGAAGAAGAAGAAGAGGAGAGGGAAGGAAAAGAGGAGGGGGAGGATGGGGGAGATGGAGGAGGAGGAGGAGGAGGCCTCCTGGAAGTCTCTTGGGGCACTCTTTGAGCCTCGTGGGAGCTTCCTGGGGCCCTCTGGGAGGCTTCTTGGGAGCTTCATTGGGCCTAGTTGGAGCCGCTGGAGGTCCTTGGGAAGCTCTTTGGGGGCCATACCTGAGGCCTCCTGTGCGCTCTTGGGAGCATCTTGGTGGCCTCCAGGGCCGTCCTGGAGCGTCGGAAATCCGAAACACTGCAAACACCAGAATCCTTCAAACACCTTATGATTTCGACCTCTGCGGGCCTTCCTGGAGGCCTCTTGGGCCGTCTTGGAGGCTTCTTGGTCCGTCTTGAGCGATATTGATGCCACCTTGGCCCATCATGAGGCATCTCGGCCCGTCTTGGAGACATCTTCGTAGGGACATCCTGGACTCTTAGGACCATCGTAGCCGTCGTGGGGAACAGATTGGCCGTCTTGGAGGCCTTCTTAGGGCCACCTGGAGCGGGACGACCGACGACCTGGGAAGTTTATGGGTCTCCGTGGAGACGAGTTTTCCAGTTTCATACTTCCTTGAGCGTGTCCTTCCACGTCTTTCCGGGTGGCCGTCAGGTTGGGCCGAAGACCCTTCGAAATTTCCAACAGGACCAAAAGTTTCCTGACGTCTGGCACGCCGCGCATGGCAAGGCACGTGAGGCGGCGGATCTAGTGGCCTTCGGCCCCTCCCGCCAGCGCGCTTGGGTCTTGGGCCGGACGCCTCTCTGAGGCATAATGTCGGCGGCGAGCGAGGAGGAGAAGTGAGAAGGAGAACGGCTTCGCAGATGGCGGCGAGGCTGCTCAGAAGCCCTCCGGCCTTCTGAGGGGCTTCCTGCGTCCTCGGGGAAGGCTTAGAAAACTTCTCGGAAAGCCGGCGGGCGTCCGAGCCTTCTGAGAAGGGCCGCCCCTTCTCGTTTCCCCCGGGCTCGCCGCCGATATCGGGGGCCCTGTAGAAGAGTTCCAGAGCGTTCCGGAACACTCGCAGAGCGTTCCTGCACGCTCTGGAACGACCGCGGCGCTCAATTCTCATAGATTGTTGATTGATATCGGTCCAAGTTTGGGGGGCTCGGGGTCTCTTGGAGGAGTGCCTTCCAGCACGGCGCGGCGGTGGCGCGCTTTTGCGGGGCCTCCTCCTTGGGCCATCTCGGGGCCTCGTCGGCCCTCTTGGGGATCTCAGGCACCGCTTTTTCAGAAGGAAGAACCACAGACACAAATAATCGTCGATTCCACGGGAAATATACTGAATATTGGAAGTGGAAGGGGAAGGCTGACATCCAGGAAATATTGAAAATAGAGGGAATCATGGGAGTTGTGTTTATTTATACCGTAAGGGCTTCGCCCCTTGCCGCCGTCCCCCTCTCTCGGATAATGGGCAATGCAAGAGCGAAATCATGAGGCCTTGGCGCCGCCGTGAAGCAGCGTCGGGACTTCACGCGAAGACGATCGGCAAGACAAATTGAGATTCTAACGATATTGTTGAATTCGGTGTTGTATTTCGAGCTTGCTCGCGTATGCTGTGCAAACAGTTTTTCTACGAAGTATTGAAATGTTGCGAAACCCATGTGTTTTTTGAACCTGACCCCACCGATCTGCGTGAGGGGTGCCACCGAATTTCAGAAATGTGGCAAGTCCCTTGTGTTTTCCGACCCTTTTCCCGCCGATCTGCAAGAGGAGTGCCACAGAATTTCAAAGATCTGGCAAATTCCTTCTGTTTTTGGACCCTGACCCCGCCGATCTGCGTGAGGGGGGCCACCGAATTTCAAGACATGTGGCAAATCCCATGTGGTGTTCGACCCTGACCCCACAATTCTGCCAGAAGGGTGCCACCGAATTGCAAACATGTAGCAAATCCTGTGTGTTTTTGGACCCTGACCCCGCCGATCTGCATGAGGAGTGCTACCGAATTTCAGAAATGTGGCAAGTCCCTTGTGTTTTTGGACCCTGACCCCGGCGATCTGCGTGAGGGGGCCACCGAATTTTTAGAAATGTGGCAAATCCCATTGGTTTTCTGACCCTGACTCCAGCGATCTGCGTGAGGGGTGCATCCCATATGTTTTTGGACCCTGACCCCGCCGATCTGCGTGAGGGGGGCCACCGAATTTCAAGACGCGTTGCAAATCCCATTGGTTTTCCGACCCTGACCTCTGCGTGAGGGGTGCCACCGAATTTCAATAATGTGGCAAATCCCATGTGTTTGGGGACCCTGACCCCGCCGATCTGCGTGAGGGGTGTCAATTTCGACCCCCCCAGAAATTCTGAGACCCCTCCCGGGAGGTGCTAATCACCAGGGCGGTTTTCGGCTCCCCCCCCTCGCGCGGTCTATAACAAGGAACAGTTAGCAACAAGAAGCAGAACTGTAACAGTGGAAATTGCAAACTGGAACTTGTTCAGGGAACAGCAAACCCTGAGCCTACAGCCTGGTGGCCCCACAAGGCGGCCGGCGGATGTATGTGTCCTTGGTCCCCTTCATTTCTGGAGACAGGTTGAAGACTTTCTGGGCCGTCTTGGGCGCTCTGGAAACCAAAAAGCCCAACATGCAACCGTCATACAAAAAGCGCAGGTGCTTCGGTGATTGTGGCCCACTGGGCCAGTCCCTGGAGCTCCTCTAACGGCCCGAGAGGTGCCCAGGCGGGCTCCAAAAGGAGCCTGGGATTTTCTTTGGTTTCGTAAGGCAAGCTGGGAGCGTGGGGTCTTAAGAGCGCTTTGGGAATGGTCACGCGACAATGCCTCAGCGCGCTAAAGAGAGCCCAAGATAGCCCGTAACTCGGTGATATGTTCCGCTCATCGAACATTTGCAATGCTCAATCCAGGGAGCTCGAAGGGACCTGAGGAAACTCCACTTCGTGCGAGCCGCACGGTGGTGGATATTATCCGTGCCTTTATTCAGGCAAGCTTGCAGTGTGAGAGACCGTCGACGGGGCGGCCGTCACTGAGGATCAGGAGTAGGACAAGGAGGAGGAGAATGAGGAGGAGGAGGAGATAGATGAAGTGGTTGAGGTTGATGATGAGGAGGAGGAGGAAAAGGAGGAAAAGGAGGAGAAGGAGGAGGAGGAGGAGGATGCGGACGGAACAGTGGAGGAGCAGCAGCAGGAGCGGTCGGAGGAGGAGGAGGAATGAGGAAGACGACGACGAGGGGGGATGGCGGTGAGGAGGAGTAGGAACAGGAGTAGAAGACTTATCGTTATGGGTGCCTGTTTGTGCGGCGATGGGAAATTTTTAGAGGAGGTACGCTCGGCTCAAACGCGAGGGCTCATCGACGTTTAATTGAACCTTTGTATCCGCGAATGCTGACGTAAGATGCAGATTAAACAAAGTGCCACGTCTCAGCGAGCTCTTCCTCCCCCGCTATCTTTCTCCCGTCAATCCGCTCGGTACGCTCTTCATCCGCTCGGTACGCTCTTCATTGCCAAATGTCTTCTATGCCACGTCCTCTCGGTGGTACTGCTCTGGCGCCTCATCCTGGTACTCTTCATCGGCATCGTCCCCTCATCCCCCAGCGTCCGTGCCTGAGGACTTACATTGTAATATGTATTTTAATTGGTTGTGCCATATAACTGCTCTGAACATGTCGTTCGCACTAGCCGCCGTAGCATGAACCAGGGAGAGCAATGCAGCCGCACTACGACTGTGATTAAGCTTCTGATTGTGCCGTTACGAAAACACTGCCACTCACAGTAGTGTTCATGTCGGCGCTAAGGCTGCTGCTCCAGCCCTCAGACTACTCCTGCCACTGCTGCAGCGAAAGCGACGGGTACTCGCACCACCATGTTGTCTATTGCTACAGCCTCTGTCTGACTGAATTTCAGTTGCACCTTTCTGATTACAATCCTCTATCCGCAATCCCTCCTACACCTCAACTCCAGCCCTCCTCCCACGTATTCATCCCTCCCCGCTTCTCCCTCCCCTACCTCATCCGTCCTACCTCTACCCTCATGCCCGCCTCCCCACGGTCGCCTTCAGCCTTCTCGTTCTCCCCTCATATCCTCCTTCCTTGTTGTCTCGTTGCCTCTCTTCCTCAAACCTTCCTCCTCCTTCTCCTCCTCCTCCGCGTCCTCTTCCTCCCTCCTCCTCCTCCTCCTCCCCCTCCTCACCATCATCATCAGCATCATCAGACTCCGAATCATCAGCATCAGCAGCATCATCAGTATCATCATCTCTCCCTCCTCCCTCTCCCTCTCCCTTCCGCCCTCCCCCCCTCCCCCCCTTCTGCCAGCCTGGAGGGCGACGCCGCGGTCGGGCCCACCCTCGTCAACCTCACCCATGGCAGCGGGCTTCGCCTCCGAGCCTTGCCCATATGTGGAGGAGGAGGAGGAGGAGGAGGAGGAGGAGGAGGAGGAGGGGTGAGTGAGGAGGAGTAGGAGGAAGCGGAGAAGCAGGAGGACCAGTGCAAACCCAAGACTCATCAGCGACACCGCAGTACATTCTCCTTCCAGGTTCCCTCTTCATAGACCCCTACAAGGATTCAACTTCACTGAGGGAAGCGTCCCGTTGGAAGGCAACCGTTTGAAAATCCCGAACCGCGCCAGAACATCATTCCTTCCTGAGACTTCAACGCAGCGAATCACCGTTATTGCTGAGCCTTGACGATGCTGAATCTCGCCAGGACGCCATGCCTGGGACTTCAGCACCGCGAATCAACGTAATTGCTGCGCCGCGGCAGTCAAACACCGTGCCAACACATTATTTCTGGAACGTGAGCCATGCGAATCCTTGAAACGGATGCAAAACCTTAAAGCAAATGCGTGCGGCACGACGGCGACAGCCACAGTTTGAGAGGGAGCCGCATGAACCCGTGAATTTGGCAATTGTGTAGGACGAGCGCGCGCGGCCCCCAGCTTCCAGACACGAACCACCGTTTGAAAACCGCCCGCCCTCCACCCTCGAGACTCTTGCACGCGCGTAAGACCAATGTGCGCGGCGCCCAGGCGAGGGCCACATTTTGAAAAAGGCCCACTTGCCGTCCTGGAACGCCTTGCGCTTGTGTAAGGCGAGCGTCGAGCGTGCGCGGCACCGAGGCGAGAGCCACAGTCTGCACACGATCCGCCCCCCGTCCGTGAGCGCCCTGCACGCCTTCAGCTTGAGGGCCATACGTGGTGCGCAAGTCTAGTTCTTCATAAGGAAAAAGAATGGAGGAGGAGGAGGAAGAGGAGGAGGAGGAGGGAGAGAAGGAGGGAAAGAGGTGAGGGAGGGAGGGGCGGGTGACAGGAGGAGGAGGAGGAGGAGGAGGAGGAGGAGGACGAGGAGGACGAGGAGTGGGGAGGAGGAGGACGAGGAGGAGGAGAAGGAGGAGGAGAGTGGAGTGAGGATGAGAAGGATAACAATCATACGGAGGATTGGGGATGGTGGGAGGAGGGGGAAGAGGAGGAGGGCTCAGCAAGGCCGTCGACCGTCGACGGAGGGGGGGAACAACAAGGGCGAGGGACATACCACTCATCAGAGGCGATGATCAGAATGTGGGGGCCGAACGGCCATGTCCTGTCCCTGGGTGCGTGGCTGAAGTGGGGTTCCGCGGTGCGGATTGTTGTTGTTGCGTCGTTGCGTTGCGTTGGTGCGTCGTTGTCGTCGCCCTCGTTCGCGACCACCCCGCCACCCACCCTGCAACCCACCCACGACCCACCCGCGCTGATTTGACGAAACATCGGTGCTTGCGGCGGGCTCGTTGTGTAATGCGTCCAAACAACGGCGCCTGCAGCGGGGTTCTGCCGACGGCTCCGCCGCCCCCTCAATGTTATCCGCAGTTGCTGGGCACTACGGTGAATCCAGCGAGTCAGTCGTAACCTCTCGGCGGTCGGAAGTATGACCAACCTGGTAGAATCCCCAGATTTTCCCGAAGGAGAAGGGGGAAGGGGTGGACGGGAGGAGGGGTGACTCGCCTCCATCCCCTCTCCCTGTAAAGCCTTAGAATAAAACCGTAGATGAGAAATAGGAGGAGGAAAAGGATCCCCCATCCGACTCCGAGAGGTAGAAGGAGGAGGAGCAGGAGGAGGAGGAGAAGAGGAGGAGGCGGAGGAGAAAGAGGAGGAGGAGGAGGAGGAGGAGGAAGGAGCATGAGGAGGAGGAGGAGGAGGAGGTGGGAGCTGGAGGAGAGGAGGATGAGCAGGTTGAGGAGAAGGAGGAGGAGGAGGAGGAACAGGAAGACGAAGAGGAGGAGGAGCCTCCCGCCCCTCCATCCTCACACGGCCAGGGTCCACTCGGAACTGGCCGGCCCTGGGCCCAAGACCAGTCTTGGGCACTATCCTGGGCCGCTTGCCGAGCTGCGCCCAGCCTCAAGCAGTTGCGAAGCGTCCTGACTCGCCTATAGCCCTGCCAAACAATGTTCTAAGAACCTTTTGTGGTTCCCACGAAATGTTCTTGGAACACTTCTGGCTGAGTTTGCCTTGTTGCATCACGTCGGGCATCTGTTCTAAGAACATTGTTTTTGTTCTTAGAACATGTTTGGGCTCCACGAAAACATCGTGGTATGACTATAGGAATGCCGGGACGGTCGGTTCCTGCTCAACAGCCGTGGCGATGTGGAAGAAGGGTTTTGCTCAGGAACTTCAGGGAGCATGCGAGCGTTTCGCTTCGGCCGAGCCAGAAGTCAGCATCGTTTCAACGACCCCTATCCCCATCCCCATCCCCATCCCGACCCCAACCATCTCAGCACCCCAGTTGGGGGTACACCCCTCGAAACCCAAAGAAAGCCGCCCCTATCCCCATCTGGGGGGGGGGGGGGGAACACGCCAGTTGGGCCCAGGCCACGCCCATGGGGACAGGGGCCGGGTGAACGATGCTCACGAAGGGGGCGAGCAACCCCAGCGGCACCACCCGCCCACCTTGGACCCGGCGAGCCACCACTCCGCCCCGGGGGCCCGAGGCCGGGCCGCGGTCCCCCTGGCCGGCCAGCTGTCCATGTGCCGCTCGCCCGTGCGCGCAGAGGAGAGGCGGAGGAGGACCAGTCGGCCAAGCGCAGGGGAGGGGCGGCGTCGTAGGAGCGCCCCTGCTTCTCAGAAGGCGCGGTCCTCGTCTGTAGATGAAGGGCCGGCGCCTTCGAAGGAGAAGCCTCCCCCCATCCCCCTGCCCTCTCGTGCGCGCCGCCAGAGGAGGACGGCGAGCACGAAGATGAGGATGTGGGGTCGCGGACGAGGAGGGCGGGGAGAGGAGGAGGAGGAGGAGGAGGAGGAGGAGGAGGAGGAGGAGGAGGAGGGGAGGAGAGAGGAGGAGAGGAAGATAAGAAAAAAAAAGGAGGAGGAGAGAGGAGCAGGAGGGGGAGGATAGGGAGGAGGAGGAGGAGGAGGGGGAGAAGGAGGAGGGAGGAGGGAGGAGGAGGAGGAGGAGGAGGAGCAGGAGGAGGAGGAGCAGGAGGAGGAGGAGGAGGAGGAGCAGGAGGAGGGCCTCCGCAGGACGCCTCCCTCCTGGAGCGCTGCAGCGCACTCGCGGGCCGGCGGGCCCCCGCCTTCGGGGGGGCCGGACGGAGGGCTCGGAAACGTCCTTGGCTGGCCTCGCCAAGGCTTTCGTGGGCCTGGGCCTCGGGGCTGCCACCGCTCAAGCAGTGGCGAAGCGTCCTGGCTCGCCAATAGGCTCACCTTCTGTGGTCTTCACGAAATGTTATTCGAACATTTCTGGCTGAGTCTGTCTTGGGGTAGCACCTTGTTTTTGTTCTTGGAGCATTTGGGGGTTCTAGGAAAAATTCGCGGCGTGCCTATGGAAATGCCGGGACGGTCGGTCCCTGCTCAAACAGCGGCGTTCGGGGAGGAGGAGGGTTCCTTTGTCTACCCTCTGGGCCCTGGGCAATAACGCACGTGATGCCCCTCCTCTTTTTCCTCCTCCTCCTCCTCCTCCTCCTCCTCCTCCTCCTCCTCCTCGTCATCATCGTCAGCATCAGCATCAGCATCATCATCATCATCATCATCATCATCATCATCATCATCATCATCATCAGCAGCAGCATCATCATCATCGTCATCGTCATCGTCATCGTCATCGTCATCGTCATCGTCAGCAGCAGCATCCTCATTATCATCCTCATCATCCTCATCCTCAGCATCGTCCTCCTCACCAACGTCATCATAATCATCCTCAGCCTCATCCTCATCCTCATCCTCATAACCATCAATATCATCACCATTATCATCAGCATCCTCATCCTCATCCTCATTCTTATTATTATCCTCATCCTCCTCCCCCCCCTGCCTCACCCGCCCCCCCTCCCTCCCCTCGTAACGTGACACTCCTCCCCCCCCCCCGCGAGTTGCGGCCCTCGTTCTGCCGCCGTGCGTCCGGCGCCACAGTCTGTTTGTCGCGGTAGGGGGCGGGGTCGTTGCGTCATGCTCCCGCCCCCTCCCCCCGCAATCTTGCCCCCGCTACCGTCGCGAATGAACAAGTGCTCTCGCGGGGAGACGTCGGACAAGAAGGCAGGGCACAGGACAGGGGGGGGGGTCACGAAGCCTGCTGCATGCAGCCGGTTTCGGCCCCGCCGCCCAGCGCCAGGCGCTTTTCTTCGATGCGCGCACTGGCGCTTCCAGCGCCAGGAGGCGCCGGGAAGATGAGCTGCGTGAGCTGATGCCCCAGCTCCCCCCTTGGTATTCCCCCCCGTTCGTCGGACCCGACGGGGAGACAGTTTGACCGTCGGGGCTTCGTCTGGGCCTCCCGGGGCCTCTCCGTAGCCACGGCGGGAGCTGCCACCGCAACGGCCGTCCGACCGTAGTCTGACTGCGTGGGCTGCTTCTGGCCTCCCGGGGCGGCTCGTGGCCAGCTCCACCAGCCCCGAGGCTGTGGCCGGGGGAGTTGGACCTGCCCGGGGGTCCGTTTTCTTGGGGGAGGGGCGCCACGGAGAGATCGCGACGGGTGCTTTCATTCCCCGAACAGCCTGTCTGTAAGGCTTCTATACAGAGGGGTTCCAGAACGGGCCTCGCTTTCGTGGATCTCCTCCGCGGCGGAAGAAACGCGAGTCCGCCTCCGCCTGCGGAAGCGGGCGAAAGGCGGTGGAAGTAAAAGATGCGTTCCCAAGAGATGGGCACGCTTTGCCGAAGAAGAAAAAACGCCATGAATATCAGAGTGAGTTGGCCGAACGGTCATTCGTGGCTGAAGTGGGATTCCGCGATGCGGATTCTTGTTGTTGTTCTTTCTTTGTTGTTTGTTTGTTCTTTGGCGTCGACCCCCCGCGACCCACCGGCGACGCACCCCGCGACCCACCCGCGACCCACCCCGCGACACACCCCGCGACACACCCCGCGACCCGCCCGCGACCCACCTGCGACCCACCCGCGACCCACCCGCGACCTATTTGCGACCCACCCTCGACCCACCCACATTGCTTCAACGAAAAATCGGCGCCTGCGGCGGGCTCATGGTGTAATTTGTAGAAATCAGGCGCCTGCGGCGGCCGGATTTGAATCGGGATTTGATGGGGACGAGTCCTAGGCAGGGGGGGAAGGAAGGGACGGACGGAGGCCGAATCTCCGACTTCAAGAGTGCTGTGTGACGTTGGCCCCCAGAGTTCTCGACCCATTCTGCACGGATGTTTTTCTAGCGTTCCAAATCGTTTGCCGAAGATCCGTGGAGCCCGAAAGGAGGCTCTCAGGAAACTCGCAAAGCGGCCGTCGCATGTGTCGTGACGATCGAGGTTCGGGGCCCATGCCCCAGATCGACCGCAGGATCTGTCCTGGGGCGCGCGTGCGTCCCGGCCAGAGCTTCGAGGCGGATCCAGCCGTGGCCACGGGAGGCGGAGGACGCCGACGAAGGCGAGGAAGATGACAAAAAGAAGGAAGAGGAAGGGAGGAGAGGAGGAGGAGGAGGAGGAGGAGGAGGAAGAGGAGGAGGAGGAGGAAGCTTGGAGTCCCCCAAAAAATACGGACCCCGACGTCCGAGCACCCCGGCGTCCGAGCACCCACCTCGACGTCCGAGCACCTCGAGGCCCAGACGTCCGATGTCGCGACCTGTTCGGTAACAACCAGGGTTCCTGGACCCCGAACTCCTCCTCCTCCTCCTCCTCCTCCTCCTCCTCCTCCTCCTCCTCCTCCTCTCCTCCTCCTCCGATGTCCTCCTCCTCCTCCCTCCTCCTCCTCCTCTCCTCCTCGATGTCCTCCTCCTCGATGTCCTCCTCCTCCTCCTCCTCCTCCTCCTCCTCCTCCTCCTCCTCCTCCTCTGGATCCCGAACCAATCCTGGGGACGGGAACGTCGGGAGGAAGAGGGAGGACATTGAATAGACGTAAGAGTGACCTTTTTGCCAGAGTGACCTCTGGTGCGGGCCCGATGGGGTCCCCCGATCGCCAAACGCGGTGCGATAGTAGCGGCTTGTGCGCCTGTGTTTGGTCACCCCGCGGCTCCAACAAATCTGGTTGACGCACATGGGGGTCCAGCTACAGGGGGTGCAATAGATGTAGTTCAATCGATGAATGGAGATGCAATAGATTTGAGGTGGCTAAACATTCCAGGGCGCACATGGTTTGCTAGATGCCCGCGTGCAACACACTGCTTGCAACACAGTGCAATACAACTCTCTGGCGCAACACGTTGGCAAAACAAGTGCCCCAAATATATTGCACCACCCCCTTGCAGCTGCCCCCCTTTCAGATCAGGTTCGTAGCCATTTTGGCTCATGCCTTTCCGTAGGCCCCCCGCTCCTGGACTCTTTCTCGGCGTGCTTTGCGACCCCAACCCGTCATCCTGTCGGGGCAACGCGGCAGGCGTAAGGGAGGGGGGAGCGGGGCTTTGAGCTCACGGGAGCATGGCGCGGGAAGATGCCCGTGGTGGTGTTTGGAAGCGTTCGCGTGCCGATCGCGCAGTTGCCAGACAAGCCGCTCAAGCCAGAGCGGAGGCCGCACTGAAACGAGCAGGACGAGCTCAAAGGGAAGTTGGACCACCTCCTGGCGGCCACCGCGATAGCTTTGGATGTGCCTGCTGCGGTCGCCGATCGGGTTGTTACGCTACTGCCCTGCCTCGTCAAACTTGTTGAAGGCATTCGACTTGAGCACGAGGATTGTCTTAGACGCAATGTTGCACTGCATGCGTTGGCCCCTGGGGTGAAGATTTCTTGCGCAGGCGGTAAGGAGTTACGTCACGCCCAGCACGGTCCCCGTCTCGAGTCATTGCTTCATGTTGAACACGTTCCTGGCTCTTTCTGCTGGAACAACGGTGTTTCGGTGTTTGTCACGGGAGCAGCTGCTCATTTCTTAGCGATTGAGGTCAAGGTTGTTGTTTGTCTGGAGTCCGAGATTGCCCCCGTCCTCCGTGGCGAGTGGGAAGCAGCGCCGCTGTGTTTGCACAGCATCAGTCCGTGGAGACCCGCCCTTCCACCGGCGATGATGCAGATGGCAAGGGACTAAAGCTGGCACAGTGCAGTGAGACGAACAAAAACGGTACCGAGGCGCATGGGCCACAGGAACCAGCGAGCCAGGGTACGGAAACGGAGTGAACTCCTCCTTCGGCGCTTGGCTTTTCTGTGGCGGCCGTGGGGTTCGCCAACGGAGGTCTTGCGCGGTGGGGCACGATTTGTGTTGGAAGGAGGCCAGCGACCTCGAAGAGGAAGGTCGCCTTCAGCCATGGTGTACGTCGTGCGGGGGCACTATCCCGTGTGGCAACCATGTTTTCTTTGCGTCGAAACAAGCCGCGACAAATTGTAGTTGTGAGAATTGTGTTAATCCAGAGCTACGACGGCCAGAATTCCATCACAGGCCGTTCACCGCTCCTGGGGGTGTGTCTGATTAAGTACCTCAGGGCCTATACTTGCGTCGGAGTGGCTGGACACGTTGCGACGTGCCGTGGCATGCGTGTTTGGGTTCAGAGTTTCGGCGTGGAGCAGATTGGGTTCCTTGTCGTTCAGTTCGGGCAGACCCTCGAGGAAGTGGATTGTATGGAATAGGGGCTCCGCATCCGCAAATGTGGACTCAGCCCTTAAGCTAGTTAAGAGGTAAGCGGAGGAGGAGGAGGAGGAAGAGGAGGAGGAGGAGGGGCGGGGAGGATGAGCGGGGAGGAGAAGGAGGGGCGGGGAGGGGCAGCAGCAGGAGGGAGGAGGACCAGGAGGAGGAGGAAGGAGAGGAGGAGAAGGAGGAGGAGGACAAGGAGGAGGAGGGGGAGGAGCACGAGTCGGCGCAGAGGCAGGGGGACGCGGGGGGGGGGAGGAGGCAAGAGGGAGGGCGAGGACGACGTGGACGAGGTGGAAACGGGGGAGGGATGCGAGGGCGGGGCGGGGGGGAGGTCGTTCGGGCTCCGCCCTCCCACCCCTCGCCCTGGTTTCGTTTCGCCTCTGCCCTGCCCCGCGCCCGCCGCCCCGCGCGTTCGGTCGGCTCGCCTATCCTGCCCCGGCCTGCCCCCCGCGGCCCTCGCCCTGCGCCGAGTCCAGGAGGCGAAAAACGGGGAGGAGGAGGAGGAGGAGGAGGAGGAGGAGGAGGAGGAGGAGCAGATGGATGATGAGGAGGAGGAGGAGATGGAGGAGGAGGAGGAGGAGGAGGAGGAGGAGGAGGAGGAGATGGAGGAGGAGAGGAGGAGGAGGAGGAGGAGGAGAAGGAGGAGGATAGTGGAGGGCGGAGAGAGAACGAGAAACAGGAGGGTGTGGGAGGGAGGAGGGAGGGGCAGGAGGCAGGACAGAGGACGAGGAGGGATGAGGGATGAGGGATGACAAGGAGGAGACGGAGCATGATGAGGAGCAGCGCGCACGGATCTGAGGCCGTGGGCCCCACAACCAGGTGGACCTCGGGCGGGAGGGGGGCCTTTGGATCAGCAACTGCCACCTCGTGGCCGCTCGCCCAGCGGGCGCTTGGGGGGGAGAAGGAGGAACGAGGAACGAGGAGCGAGGAGGGGATGCGAGGGGAAGGAGGATGAAAACGAGGAGGAGGAGGAGGACGACGACGAGGACGAGAACGAGGACGAGGAGGACGAGCAGGAGGAGAAGGAGGAGGAGGAGGACGACGACGGGGCGGCGCGAGGAAGAGGAGGAGGACGAACGAGAGGAAAGGAGAGCGTGAGGAGGAACGAGGAGGATGAGGGGATGGAGCAGGAGGAAGAGGCGGAGGAGGAGGAGGAATGATAATTATAATGACATGGATAATAATACGACTAATATTGGTGTTAATCGTAATAAGAGTAATAGTAGTTCTAGTACTAGTAGTAGTAATAATAGTCGTACGAATAATAATACTTGTATTCGCATTAGTACTAATAACAATATTAATACCGATAATAATAAGAATAGTACGAGTACGGATTATAGTAGTAATAATAATGGTAATAATAATATTACAATGGTACGAATAAGAATAACAATAATACTAATGATAAGAATACTCATAAGAATACGAATAGTTATATTAATATCCACACCAAAACGAATAATAATAGTAATACTAATAATACTAACCATGAAGAAGAAGAAGAGGAAAAAGAAGAAGAATAAGAGAAAGACGCAGAAGCCGAAGAAGACGGCGCGGCGCGGCACGGCGGCGTAGCGGGGGGAGTGGCTGGCGTCGGCCGGCGGCGGCGGGCAGGCCGCCCGTCGAGAGCCGCGTTTTGATGAGGGATCTTCGTCTGGCCTGGCTCCGACCGCAGCCCCCTGCGAGGGGCCCCCCTCTCGCTCGGAGTCAAGGGGGGGCGCCCCAGGCTGGCCGAGGGTGTCCAGGGAAACGCGCGGCCCGGAGCGCAGATATCCCCACGCAGGGCCCTAAGGGTGTTCAAGCTCCACCTCGGATCCGCCCCCGAAGCTCCTCTACCTCTACCCGTCGGTCGCTGACAGTAGGCAGCTGTGGACTCCCAGATCCCAATCTCTACTTCAAGAGCCTTCCTGCTTCAAGAATCGAGATGCGCTTGCCGTGTGTTTGTTACTCTCTGGGAGGGCATGAACCAAATCCTGTTTATCCGCCTTCCGGTTCAATTGTTCGACTTACCTTTTCCGACCGACGTGTGCCCCCACGCAGGGCCCCAAGGGTGTTCAAATTTTTTCTTGGATCAACCCCCAAAGCGCCTCTACATTTACGTTTCTACCTCCTGCTCCTGCTGGGCGCCCCCCCCCCTCCGCACAACACGGATGGCGCCGCCCGCGGGCGGGGCATTGTTCCCTCGAGCCGCCCCGCGGTCGGCCAGGGAGGGCCGTCGTTCCAGCGGCCGCAGCTGGCGGGCGACCGCTGCGCAACAGAGGGCGGAATCCCTTTTTATCAGAGCCTGCCATTGCTGGCTCCTCCTCCTCCTCCTCCTCCTCCTCCTCCTCCTCCTCCTCCTCCTCCTCCTCCTCCTCGCTCCTCGCTCCTCGCTCCTCCTTCTCATCCTCCTCCTCCTCCTCCTCGCTCCTCGTTCCTCGTTCCTCGCTCCGCCTCCTCCTCCTCCTCCACCACCTCCTCCACCTGCACTCCATACTCGCATCCTGAGGCTGCCCTGAGAAGAACGTAAGGGGAGAGAAGCAAGACAACGGCGGACTTCACTGCGAGGCGAAGATTTCTCCATAACCACGGCCTGGGGACCATCATGGGGAGCGTTACATTCGGTGGCTCTGGACATTGATGTATACTTTTATACGTATACTTGTACACACGTATATACCTGTGTGTATGGTTACGTTTATGTGTACGGCTACATAAAACGACATACCTATATATATACACGTATATATACAGCTATATACACACACGTACACCCATACTACATACATACATACATACATACATACATACATACATACATACATACATACATACATACATACATACATACATACATACATACATACATACATACATACATACATACATACATACATACATACATACATACATACATACATACATACATACATACATACATACATACATACATACATACATACATACATACATACATACACACATACACGCATACACACATACACACATACACACATACACACATACATACATACCGACCTACCTGCCTACCTACCTACCTACATACATACATGCATGCATGCATACATACACACATACATGCAGTCATTCATTCATTCATTCATTCATTCATTCATTCATTCATTCATTCATTCATTCATGTGTGTGTGCTGATTTTATATATATATATATATAATATAGATATATGGCCCCCACAGGGCCCAAGTATATCCAGACCCGCCACCCGCCGAGGCCCCCGAAGCTCGATTCTCCAGTCGGTAGCTATGTACAGGTGCCCTCCTCGGCTTCGCGGCAGCCGAGTTTCTGGTCGAGGGGCGCAAGAGGCTCGCGCGGCCTTGATGACCGGGGACACTTCTGGGACTTCTAGGCCCGTGGCCGCGGGCGCCGGGAACGGCGTTCCATTCCACAGCGCTGACGCCGGGAACGGCGGACAGCCGATTCCAGCAAGGGGGGGACCCGACGGGCGCAGACACAACTTGTTTGGCACTTAGTGGTTCATGGAGACGACCCAGTGTTTGTTGTTCGTTTTCGTTTTGCCACTTGTTTCGTGGCTCCGGCGCCGTTGTTTGACAGGTCCCCAGTGACCGCCCACATAGCAAACGTGATGGTCGTGTGGTTCACTGTCCTGGGAGTCTCCAGGACCATGCCGGGCAGATTCGGTCGCAACCTACCCACGCTCTGCCCAACCAGTACCATGATCGCCAGGTTCGATTCAAGGTGGGGGGCATTCCACCTTGATGAACGACTGCCACTAGACCCAACGGGCCTGGCGATGCCTGGTGCCGCATAGATTTCGCCCCACCGCAGGTGCAGGTAAATCGAGTTTGGACGGGCATCAACCAGGTCTTCATGTTGCAGGCCGATTAAGGGCCCCTCTGTGGTACGTCGCTCCCGGTGATCACCAACGCCTTGGCCATACATTCACACGAGGTAGACAACAAGGAAACCGCCAACGCAGCAAGGTCCATGGCTGCAGCGGGGCACGCGTTGAGGCCAGTGTCCAGACCGTCGCCAGAAGGCACCAGCCCAACCATGCGCAGGCTGCCGTTCTCCCGCAGTCGTGGAAGAACACGATCATCCTGGTGCACGGGCCGCCCGGGACACGCAAAACGAAGACGATTGCAGGATTCCTAGACACCGCAGTAAGGATAGCCAGGGAGGATCGCGTTACATGCCAGGAAGCTTGGGACATGACACCGACGATGGAATTCGAGACTGCGCGGGGCTATCATCCGTTCGAGCCTGGCGCGGGGGCCAGAACTTTCGGCAAACACAACCGGAACTGACTGGACAAGGCCAAGCAACCCACGAACTGGTTGCCGACCAAGACCCCGACGAAAGCCCGAACATTATGCTGGGAATCTTGGACGAAGCGGGGAAGTTGACCGAAGCCCTGGCCATCGACTCGCTGATGTTCCTTACTCAATCCGGCGGGCGGGCCCTGGTGACGGGAGACGTCGGGCAGTCGTGCCCCACGGAGGTTTCCGAACGCGCAGCCGCCATGGGCACTCGCGATCTCTGGGGCGGAGCGGCCCCAGGACCCCCTCGCCCTCAGCCCGGCCCCCCACTGCTTCTACGGGGGCCTGCTGCTGCCAGGGCTGCGAGATCCAGTCCAGGAACGTCGCCTGGCCACGGGCCCTGCCCCGGGAGGAAGTCGACGCTGCTCGCGCCGCAGGAGGAGCGGAGGACGGCCCCGCGCCGTCCAGGCCGGGGGGGGCCTCGGGGCCCCCACGCGCGGGGCCACGAGAAGAGACCGCATCAGGGCCCTCCCGGCGCGCGTGGACCCCTACGAGGTCCGACCACGGTCGAAGGCGACGCCAACATCAAGGAGGCCGCTACCACCCGCGACCCGGCTGCACCATGTCAGGGCGATTCGATCAGGAAAGGGCGCGAGATGGCCCTCTGCGGTCACTGAGCTACCCCTCCTAAGTCCGGAAGGGCACACCGCAGATCAGCGCCGCCTACGACGGCTAAGGAGACGACAAGGGCAAAAGGAAGGCAACAGATGCAACGGGCAGATCCCCATGCCAGGCCGGCCACCATCCCAGGAACCCCCCTTCCACCAGACCGCTGGGCAGGTCGCGGGCCCCGATCCCGAGGCGGGTCAGCCGCGGGGCCGCGAGCGCAGCGGAGCAGACAGTTTAACGGCAGTCCGCCACAGTCGCCAACGGCCTCGAGCTGAGCAGGTGCCCGAGGCTCTTCCAGGCCAGCCCCGCCGCGATCAGCAACGTCGACTCCATCCAGCCAGGGAGGCGAGGCCAACCCGGCCATCACTGCGGCCACCAGGGCCAACCGCAGCCACGCACGGAGATTTCTTGACGACCGACATCGACTCGACGTCGCACTCACCGGGGCGATGGATGGCGCGCCATCGCGGGCAATGGCAGAATGTCTGCGGGCATGACTTGTGTCCATCTCCACTGCAGCTTGGAGCTTCGGACTCCCTTCCCCAGAAACCCGAGGCGCACTGGGCGTGGATGAAAATCTGGCCCCTAGAGAGTCGATGTTTATCCATATCCACTGCGCCTCAACCTTGCGACGCCCCTTCCGAGAAAGTCCAAGAAGCACTGGATATGGATATAACGATTGCCCGCAATGTTCAGCGCAGCCACTGAGTCCCAGCTCCATCCTGGCGGCCAGGCGCACGGCTTCGGTTGGAAGACCCCAGACAGGCAGGCGCCCTGCGGCAGTTGACCGAGGATTCTGACTTCGAGCCAGCCTCACTACACGGCGGCCCCGCGTCGGACGAGACCACGGCAGAGGACCGCGCCGAAAGGGCGAAGGGCGCCGAACTCAGGGCCAAGGATGGGGAACTCGCCAACATACGCGAGCAGCACCAGCTTGGCTTCGCGACCCCGGCGGGCCCCCCGCTGCCGGAC